TCAAGTAACATGAATTTTATTGAGAGACAACTGCAAACTTCTCTAAATAACGTATAAGATTGGTTCAAGACCAATGGTTTTAATTTTAATACAGAGAAGACCTCGTGCATCCACTTTTGTCAAAGGCGTGTAGTTTGCACCTGGATCCTGAAATTCACCTAAATCAGGGGTCGGCAGGATCGGCTCATTGCATAGACGTTTGTGGCTCTTCGGACATAAACGCAAATTTCACCTCATCTCAAGCAGCATTATAACTTATGAGTTTATGAGCCTCCAAACAAACTTTGACTCGGACGCCATACCACTCTTTAGCCTGTCCGCACATGACTACACTCGCATTGATCGATATGATTTGCATGTGAGTGGTAGCATTTGAAGCATATCTGAATTTAAATTTTGAATTTGAATTTTATATTTGAAGCATATTTGAAGCATATAACCGATTGAATGTGTGTCTGTCTGTCCATGTAACGTTATGCCAAAAATAGCCACTAGAGGCGCCCTGTTGTGTGTCGTATTTCGCACATTTAAATTAACAATATAAATTATTATTTACATTTTACAGTAAAAATTACTTTTATTCATTTATTATTATTATTATACATATGTAATATACACATGTATATGACCTATACATATGTATATTACATATATGCGGCTTTCAGGTACTTTTGTTATCCTGTTTCCATGACAATTTGGCACTTCTCACTTGACAAACTGCCAAAACAAGTTAAAATCTCAATGGTGAATGAGGCTAAGTTTTTGAATGTTTTGTTTTTGACAAAAAACTGACATCCTTGTCACAATTGCGCAATTTGAAGAGTATATGTTTAAATTTCCTGAACCTTTTAAAGGTAGTATGCTGCTCATCCTGGGGAGCAGACAAATGTTTCATGCTCAGGATTTATAATGCTGTTTGCGCTCAAAGCATGTTTACAGATGCATAATGTATGGTTCTGCTCAAAACGCTACTCTTCAGATGCTGGATCCAATCCTCCACCAAGAATTGCATTTGTTCACAGGTGCTTTTCGAACTTCTCCTGTGCAAAGCTTGTATGTGGATGCTTATGAACCTCCACTATCTTACTGGAGAGAACAGTTGTGACTCTTTTATTAATTAAATTGAACTGAAATATCAGATCAAACCTTCAGTTGATTGTACAATATCAGATTCTGAGGTGGAAAGATTATTTGCAGCTTGGCCATGTAGTGTCCTGTATTCGACATAAGAATGGAGAATGTACGATGCACGATTGACCCAGACACAAGCAACGATACTCAGGCTGAGGTTGATAGTATATCACTTTGGTCAACTCCTGTGATAAATGTTGGCCTTAGCATAAAGCACTTTCCTAAGGAATTCATTTCAGATTATGTTTAAAGAAAACACTTTGGAGAAATTCAACACCATGACAGAAATTTAATTCCTATATACACTGATGGATCTAAATGAGTTAAATTTCAAAAAATAGAATAAAACCTATAAGACTTGACCGAAGAGAACCCAGTGTTTTATAGTTTTGTGCTTTTGATACTTTTCTTGATATAATATTTATTTTTGGCAATTCTGTACAACTCATTCATTGAAGTTATTCCTGTGTTTTTACCAAATTTTAAAACGTTAAATTTACATTTGTCAGTAATGAATATGGTGAGTCAAATTCTCGTAGTATTTCTGTATCCATAACCTAACGATTTAAGATGCATTACTATAATCATATAGTTATTTATTTTAGAATACAAAGAGATGAATCTTACCATAATTCAATCCGAATCGATGATTGTATGTTATATATGGGCTATTGTCAACACTGTACAAAATTTGAATTTCTCCTGAATGATTTTCTGTATACAGGAATCAGTGCTGAGTATTTAAAGAAAATAAATCATTATTATACATATTATTTCTAATATAAGTAAGCAGCAAAAACAATGTTAAAAATTACTTCAAAATTTAAGGAAATACATGTGATAAAAATGGAAAGAAGTATCATATGCATAATGTAAAATAACTGTTAAAGATTTTGTAGTTTAAAATTTAGCATAAAAATATGTTAGTATAGATTAGTGGGACGACTTTTCAAAGTAATTTTTGTGGGAAAGATGTGAAAAAAATACTGAAAAATTTATGGTTGGAAGCATATAATATATATATATATATAAATACCACCACTGTATATTTATATTATACGCTCCGAATAAAATATTTACATTTTGCTTTATACCAATAAAAATCTCTTACCAGATATGTACTGCCACAACTGTATAAAATATTTTTATGACCATAGAAATCTGGTAATAAAATTAACTTGAATAAATGATCAAAAACAAATACAGCGATACATCGGTTTTTGTCGACAATCTGTCCGAAAATAATTGATGAAATCTGAAACCGACATAAAACCGAGGATTATTTCCATACAAATCAATGTAAATCGAATTAATTCGTTTTAGGCACTCAAATATACATACCAAAAACACATTTTATAGAAAATAAATATAGTGTTTAATACTAAAAACAATAAGAAATTAATATAAAATGAATATAAAAGACTAATATGATGACCTCTGNATATTTACATTTTGCTTTATACCAATAAAAATCTCTTACCAGATATGTACTGCCACAACTGTATAAAATATTTTTATGACCATAGAAATCTGGTAATAAAATTAACTTGAATAAATGATCAAAAACAAATACAGCGATACATCGGTTTTTGTCAACAATCTGTCCGAAAATAATTGATGAAATCTGAAACCGACATAAAACCGAGGATTATTTCCATACGAATTAATGTAAATCGAATTAATTCGTTTTAGGCACTCAAATATACATACCAAAAACACATTTTATAGAAAATAAATATAGTGTTTAATACTAAATATAGAATTAATATAAAACGAATATAAAAGAAGAGTATGATGTCCTCTGAAACAGAATCTACATCTAACTGTTTTTGATTGAACCAAATTAATAATAACTATTTGACATCTTCAATTGTTTGTGATCTCTGTTTCATTAGCACATTCAGGCCTTTCGCTTCCTTAGCCTCCATTATTGCTTTTTTTTTGTCACAATGCAACTTATTGTAGATGGTGACTTCGCATACATGCGGTTGATTTTAGCAATGTTAGTGCTACTCTAGTATTTTTCAATGGTGTCCTTCAACTCGATCGTGTTTCTGGCCTTTTACTTCGAAGTAGTATACGTTCGATACATTAGGGGTATAAAAATTAATTAGTATATAAATTTAATATAAATTATACAACACAACTTTTTTTTAAAAATTTTTTTGAATTATATCGAAATAAAGACCGATACAGTATAGATTATATTTAATTTGTATAAGAATTTAATAATACAAAACGATAACACAACCGTTAAAAAATTCGACTGAGTTTAAAATTAATAATACAAAACGATAACTTGCACCCTCTGTTGTAGTACAAAATTATATATAACACAACTGTTTTGAATTATATCGAAAGAAAGACCGATAAACAATATATTATATTTAATTTGTATAAGAATTTAATATAAATTAATAATACAAAACGATAATACAACTTTTTTAAAATTCGAAACTCCCTCCTGTAATACAAGTTTTATACCCTGAACCTACTGGTGTAGACCCTGCGCTACTTTCTTTGTTCGAACTTCGAAGTGCCCTCGTTATCCCAGATCTAACGGTAGCAGAAAGTAAGATGTGTCTGTATTTTTTTTATCTGCAGATAATATACGATTTGAGTTTAAAAAAACGATTTGTTCTTAAAGAAAAATATGATTGGCTGTTAGTTTTTAACGAAGATGTGATTGATATAGGCAAGCAAACTATGGTAATATATTTTTTTAAAATAACGGAATTATTGGACCGCGTTTTTTAAAAAAATCTATTTCGTTAATTTTACCGATCTCTGTAGATAATATACGACTGGTTGCTAGTTTTTAAAGAAAATATGATTGGTTCTTATAAGATTTGTAGATAACACAATTACTGGATTTAAAAAACAATTGACTCTTTTAACTTTTTTTTATTTCTTTAAGGAATAACAAGGACAGCATTAATAAAGAAAGAAAAGCAAAAAGTTAACAGGGTTCCTTACAAAAACATGGAATTATTAATAAAGAAAAACTATATTGGTGTTACTTCAAGAAATTTGAGAATCAGGCTGAAGGAGCCCAAACATAATGTCAATAAAGGATACAACATCACAGTATTATCTCAGATGGCGCAGGCTGGAGGTTCAATAGTGAAATAGGAGGAAACAGATATTGTTAAGTCCGCGCACTCCCCAACTTTGACAATGAGCGCGAAAAATATTGAAATTTATTATGGCAAGCTACAAAATACATCCCTTAAATCAAGATATGCACAGAAGGGACGCACATCTGCGTGAAAGTATTTTGTTAAACAATCTTTTAATAGCTCATAAGTTAAGCCTTAATTTTAGCATTCTTTACATTTTTGGTTTATTAAATGCGATACTATTTCATGATATACAACATTATATCTGTTTATTGTTTTATTTAACTTTATATATGTATATATATATATATATATTTACATATATATATAGGCTATATATTTGTTATAATTCCTCTGTTAATTTTGTATTTGAATTTGTTCCATTGTACGTGTATTTGAATTTATATATTGTATTTTAGAACATATTTTTTCTAATTTATCCTGAGAATGGTCAATCGATTCGGCCGAAAACGTTAGTTACGTTTTAATAAATTTTTCTCAGCAAGCTTAAGGTGTCGTAATGTAGTTTATTATTTGCTGAGTCAGTTTCGTTGATTGTTAACTGTAATAAATATATTTATATTCAAAAAATTCATCTGTTCATATATATTTGTAATATTTTAAACACAATAAAAATATTCTAACTTTCTATTATATCAGTGAGAAATCAATCTCTTACTTTACGTCACAAATATACTGTTTATCCTATAGACACTTCACGGTTGTCTAGACAGAAATAACAGACTGATCTTTGAAATTACACAACAACTTACTCATATATACATTAGACGAGTAATAGCGTAGATGCATATTGTTAAAGAATGGAGAACACGCAGAAAAGTAACCCATTCGATTCAGCTGGTGTTTTTTCTCATTTGTTTTTCTGGTATGTAATATTGTTTTAACTCATTATTAAATGATATATTAAGAAATTAAATAACTGCTAAATAATTTTTAACTTACGTATGTTTCTAGAATGTAATTGTTATAAATTGTTATAACGCATAACAATTTATTAATGGACTTGAGTTTTTTACACAATAGTATATACACAAAACTCGTTATGTTTGTATTGCCTATTTGATATTTTTATTGTCACCAAATGGGAGAGTAAACTACATGACGTTCTCCATACACGTTATTTCAAATGTTGTGTATTAATAATAGATTTACAGATATTACACATAAAGCAGAAAAGATTACCTTTAAAATTGTTTTTTATGTCAAACGTATAATATACTGTTTGACAATTGATTATGTTACATTTATTTTAATTGGTTAGTCGAAATATAATTATGGAAGATTATTGATTATATTTAAGTTCTTATTTAAGTAATTATACAATAAAAACTTAGAAGTGCAATTAAAAATATAAATCGAGTACCATATTATTGCATAAATATAGAATAACGCATTATTATCTAGCAATTGTTGAATATGCATAGGGTTCTATGATTGGTTTCTATGGAAAAAAATCTGCATGAAAACTATTATAAAAAGTCTATGAAACTTAAAATAACACATTATTTTAAATCTCTTTTGTAATAACACTCGTTACATGAAATAAAGATAGATAGATAGATTGGTTTATATAAACAAGTCTTTTGTTTCTAATAAAATATAGTTTGGAGCATATTTCGAAATAAATTCAGACTTATTTTGCGTAGAAATTAGATAAGAAATAGTATACGTTTTATTAAAGTGCTTGCTTCGAATACTTTATGTTAGAAACAACAAAGACGTGGAAAAAATTTCCCTTAGTATTACGGAATATATCGGAAAATGTTACAGGCAATTACGTTTCTTAAAATATACTTATCCTTATATGAAAAGTAATTAATTTTTTTAAAAATAATTAGTAATATTAAACTCTTTAATTAATGCAATGAGATAACAAAAAATTTGCACATAATTTCAATCTTTATTATTGGTGTCGTTTAAACTTTCATTTATATTTGTTGAGTTAACATTTTTCTATTCCCCGCTTTCTCAACAAATAATTTACTCCAATTTCACCAACACTAAACTTTTGCTGAGCTTAAAATTTTGTTTTTTTACTAACGTTTTCAACCTATTACTATAGACTATCGTCAGGTTTAAGATTATAAATGTTTCATAATGGAACCTACCGTTTTTCAAATATTTTACATTTTTAAAATTCAAAAATAATTAAAATTCAAAATAAATTGAAAGAAGTGTGTATATTAAAATAAACAAATAAGGCCTGCTGCAACTTTTGCACAGGGGGATTCTCACTATCGAAATTTTTGCTTCAGTAAGGAACAGAATACAAATTTTCAACTGTAATTAGGACACTAATTATAAAATTCCAACTTCTCCTTCATCATGCAATGATAGAAAGGTCATTTACTCCATCGGGTGTTGATGCAATACGTCTAACTTGACACAGTTATAACTGATGTTTACAAAGATATTAGGGTTCAATTTGAAAAAAAATTGTAGTTCTATTAAGTCCCACTGTTGTCTGTCTGACCGTCTATCCGTGTGTCCTTCCATAATTTCAAGGTATTTTAAAGAAAACGATACTAGGTAACAGGAAACAGCATAAACACTAGGTCCGGATTAACTATACACGAACTCGTGATGTAAAACGGAAAACATGTTATTTTATTCCAACTAATTCCTTAAAAGTAGTTAATACATTATCAGCACGACTCCGTTGCTACCAGAAACTATGATGTACAGGGGAACACACTATAATAATAATATGAGATGAAAAAAATATATTTTAAATAAAATAAATTAAAAAATGATTAAAATTGCAGCGCAGCTTTGTGATCGTATGACAATAAATAACTGATTGTAAAGTTTTTTCTTCCATTTCGAAAGTATATTTTTAATATTAAAAATATTTTAAAAAATATTATGAAAATTAATATAGTATGCCTTTTAATGTGTGTTTAACGTTACGTATATTATAAAGTTGATTTAGCAAGATCATCTTAATTTATCAATTAAAATCTGACTTTTGTATAAATAATACTTTTCACATAAAATTCGACCTACATTTAAATCAGATATCATAACTTAGTTTATAATAACTGGTTTTTTATCATTTAATATTCATAATTTTTACATCTACAGTAAATGGCTTTTAACACTTCAATATACTTAATGATAATAAATTCATTGTAAATAAATTACGCTTTCGAAATGACCTTATGAAAATTAATATAGTATGCCTTTTAATGTGTGTTTAACGTTACGTATATTATAAAGTTGATTTAGCAAGATCATCTTAATTTATCAATTAAAATCTGACTTTTGTATAAATAATACTTTTCACATAAAATTCGACCTACATTTAAATCAGATATCATAACTTAGTTTATAATAACTGGTTTTTTATCATTTAATATTCATAATTTTTACATCTACAGTAAATGGCTTTTAACACTTCAATATACTTAATGATAATAAATTCATTGTAAATAAATTACGCTTTCGAAATGACCTTATTCAATGTACCTAACATTTTGAAATATAGGTAATTACAGCTATTAGTAATGGACTAACTGCTTAATATATAAGTAAGTTTGGGCCTAAAGCTTATTTATGTATTTATACACTTTCTTCGGAATAATGCGAATAACAATTTATTTACACCAAAGTTTGACTGAAGTTTTATAACAAAAACTTCATTTCAATTCAAATAAGTGTTTTCTAGCTTCTTTTACACAAAGAGAGTTCCTTGTAATACATGTACTTTTAAAGAGTTTTAAAAAATTTAACCCTTTGCGTGTATTTTATTTTAAGTAAATTAAAAAATTTCACGTTTTCATTATATCAGAGTCAAATCTTTCTCTTGAAATAAGAGTTAAATTTTTTATTATAAGCTGATGATACTTCCAGTGATTTATGAAGGTAAATAGAGTAAGAAACAATTTCATATTAAAAAACAAAGAATTCTCTTATCTGCTAGATGTTTAGATTCCATAACTAATACTGTAGATGTTTTATATATAAAGTATGTCACACGCAACGTATTACTTTTTTGTTTTTTTCATAAATGTATTAAAATACAATGATGAAAAAACAAAAACTAACCCATTTGATACTAACAGTGTTTTCTCTCGTGTATTTTTCTGATATATAGAAGTATATAAACAGTTAAATAATGTAAATTTGATGATAAATGACTGCTAACTTATTTCTGAAATAAGTCCTTTGCTTAGCTTGTAACTTGATTTCAAAAATTGCATAAATATTTCGTAAAGTATTATACTAGTTTTATATCTATGTATCTATATATATATATATAAATGGACGTGTGTGTCCCTATATTTCACTTTTCAGCCGAAAGTACACATCGCACATGAATCGTGTTTGTATGTGGTAGTAGCCCCAAGTCTCCATTCGTGCAATATGGTGGTTGCATCTCGATAGCTATAAGAGTGCGGGAGATATGGGCTTGAAAGTGGTTGAAAGTGGACGATTTTCTATTTCGATTTTAAGAATTTTCGAATTCGAATTTAAATTCCAATTGGTTCGATTATAAAACGATTGTAAACGTTCCAGAAACGTTGAAAATAGTTAGTTTAACTAAACGTAAAAATTCTCTAATTAGTCTGGAAACGAGGGACCTAATTCTTGCATTCTGTGAAAACGGGTAAGATTGGCTATAATGTAATTATTTTAATCTTCACTATCGTTACTTTTTGCCCAGCGAAGCGGGTCCTTGCAGCTAGATTCTAGATTACTTAGAAAAACAGTCTTTTATATATAAAAAAAACTATATTACATAAAAATAAAAACCCAGCAAAGCGTGTTCTTGCAGCTAGTATATATATAAAAATGGACGTGTGTGTCCCTATATTTTACTTTTCAGCTAAAACTACACATCGCACATGAATAGTGTTTGTATGTGGTAGTAGCCCCAATTCTCCTTTCGTGCACTATGGTGGTTGCGTCTCGATAGCGATAAGGGTGGGGGAGCTATGGGGGTTTAAAGTGGTTGACTTCGAAGATGTGTAACAATGGAAGTGTCAACAATGGCAGTGTTAACAATAGAAGTGTTAACAATGGAAGTGTTGAGTAACAAAGGAAGTGTTAATATAAAGCGGCATGCAAGATTTACAGGCGATTTTTTGCATTTTTCCGGGAAATTGAACATATTTTTAGACTCATGTAAAAATTCTCTAATTAGTCTGGAAACGGGGGACCTAATTCTTGCATTCTGTGAAAACGGGTAAGATTGGCTGTAATGTAATAGCCTTAATTTTCGCTATCGATACTTTTTTCCCCGAGCAACGCCATGAGATATAATTAAAGTTTTAATTATTGCGTGTATCATAATAAATTGTTTTTTCGATATATGTTTTATTTTGACATATTACGCAAATTATAATAAATGTTAAATACAATTATTTATTCAAAGTTCTCAGATTTATAAAAATATAAGGAAATTTTATCATAAAAGTAACAGTTCTCAAGTAATACTGCATATTTTGTATATCACAATTATACGCATTGTAAAGTATTGGGCGTATTCCAAATCACATGTCAGACGTTAATGCGTCCAAGAATAATTGCTGGTTTAAAATAGAAATAATTATATATTAAGTGAAGTATATTTTCCTGATATTGTTGACTCATTTAATACTTTATAAATTTCAAATACCTTTATCTCTGAAAAACAAAAAATTTTGTAATTTTACTAAAGTGAAATTACTTAAATGTTGAAATTTTAATTTTCGTAAAATAATTATAATAATAATAAATAATTTTATTATAAAATAGTAATAAAAAAATCGTTATGTTTTATTCAAGAGTCGTTTGTTTTCGATTTTTCGTAGTAAAAATTCTGTTCTAAACAAGTTTGTTAGCACAGTTTATTTAACATTCATTACACGTGACATTGGATGT